CAGTTGTAAAATTGAATACGTCAGACATTGTTTAAGTTTTCAATAACAGTAAGAGGGAGCTCCTTGCCAAGCATTTTTTTTTTCTTATATTGAACAGTGATATTAATCATTATTACTACAAAAGTTCGGCACGAGTAGTCACCTTCAAACAGATATACCGAGAGACAAAAATAATTTTTTTTTATATAGTTGACTTTGTTTAATTCTTGTAAATTCTTTCCCAATTGCTAAAATAATGCCCACATGTTCATAGCTGATATTCTTCAAATACGATTTATTGCAGTAGTTTATTCCTGAACTAAATATTCATGAGCTGTTCCCACAGTTAATATTAGGATTTATAGTCTTAATCCAGTATGAGAGAAAACTTTAGGCAATGACTAGATTATTTATCACATACACAAATAAAGTGTGTACAAACAATGACACATTGAAATTTCAATGACTAGATTATTTATCATATACACAAATAATATTATTTTAGCTTATTTTTTAATAAAGAATTTTAAATAGTCTGACAAATGTAGATTCATAATGTAAAAATGTGTGCAAATATACTTCTATTATCCATTATTTATTTCTATGCCTTCTCCACATAATTTAAGTTTTTAGATGTTTTTAACTTATAATATTCTATATTAACAGTTCTCAATTTGGAGGGTGGACCCCTGGGGGATACAGAATGTAGGTCAGTGAGAAGGTTTACGAAAAAAAGTTACAGTATATATTATTTACTGCAATGAATAATGCAACTGTACAATAAGCAATACAGTCAGCACTTGCATATCCTACCACAAAACAGTATTAACTAAAGTGACTATTACACACATGGCATATATCTGTTTATTTCATTTTTACCAGGTGGAGCAAGAGGGCAAAGGGCTCTGTTATCTAAGAAGTTTGAGAACCCCTGTTCTACATTACTTTTGTAGACAGAGGTTATTAATTAAAGTGACTATTACACACATGGCATATATCTGTTTATTTCATTTTTACCAGGTGGAGCAAGAGGGCAAAGGGCTCTGTTATCTAAGAAGTTTGAGAACCCCTGTTCTATATTACTTTTGTAGACAGAGGTTATTTCACTAAGATATAGTTAATGCATCATTCTAAACCTAACAAAACTGTTTGGCTGTGACCCATTACATTGCGTTCTTTCATAGTAACAGAAATGTAAATTAAGTTTCATTTCAAAATCAAAATGTGTGAGATTTTTCTTATAACAGTTATCACTTATTATTTTTGAATGTTATCTATGTCTTCTCTTATCATTGCTCATATTGTTTCTTTTCTAGTTTGCTGTGTAAGAAACTTGGAGTATAATGTTGGCTAAAGATAAATGGTGCAAACAGACTGAAAAAATCAACAATATCTTTGATCAGTAATTAATCTCTAAATACCCATAAAGAACTTATGTCAATAAATCTCACTCAGCAGCAAATATATACCCTATTTGAAAGGCAATTATATCATGTATAAGTAATGCAAGTAACTTATTGCTCACATCACCTGTGTCCATGTCCTGTGGGTTTAGCAAATGTTCCACTACTGAGCTAAATAGCAAGTTCGCTAGCAAAAGTATTCAAATATTACCATGTCTTTGTCCTGCCTTACAACTGGATTTGCAAGCAACCTATATCTTATGTTTTGCATCCAATGGAGCAGCATTTTTTTTATTAAGCTAATTTTAGTGATAAATGAGGATATCATAAACTGATTACCACACACACACCTTTATAAAACAAAATAATATGATAAGGGTTACCCTGTAAATAAGCCATGAAAGTCTACAACAAGTAAGCAAAGTTCACATTTTCTTTACTTGAAAATGTATTTCAGAAAGATACTCAACTCTCCACAGTGTAAGTTCCTGTGTATGTCACAAGCCTTGAAAAAACTCGCTCTCCTAAACATGCCAGCACATACTGTGCCAGTTTATGATATAATAATCATTAGACTATAGCCCTCCATCAATCAGAGGGGGATATGTCCTCCATGCACAGTAATCCCCATGAGAACTGGCACTTGAACCAAAGCTCATTCTTGTCAAGGCAAATTAAATGCATCATAAGTGGGAGAAAAAAGAGTAGAAGGTGGTGCAGAGAGGTGAGTATCTACCTGAAATACATTCTCAGGTAATGAAAATGTTAACTTCAGAAATGATAGTCACCTCTCTGCACCACAAACTGATCAAATCCCACATTAAGGATGGTGGAGGGAGGCTAGTGTAAAGAAATGATAAAGATGAGCTCCTTTCTGAAAAACAATGTCAGAAAGGGAAAGCCCACGTACTGTGACATCCACGAAGCAGGGGCAAAACTGAGTGGGACAGCACTCAGAGAAAGGCTGTACCCATCTCAAGCAGGGAATACTTTTTGCCCAGCAGAGGTGGTGGGACAGCACTCAGAGAGAGAGGCTGTACCCATCTCAAGCAGGGAATACTTTTTTGCCCAGCAGAGGTGGTGGGACAGCACTCAGAGAGAGAGGCTGTACCCATCTCAAGCAGGGAATACTTGTTGCCCAGCAGAGGTGGTAGATTCTTGTCATAAGAATCTGTTGGTGGGTGCTAATGAGTCACTAAGGTAAGCCAAGTGGCAGATTGCTCAATTTTCTATTATCTTACAGGCAGAAAGTCAAGCATGAGTGTGTAGGGTGGCTACGGCTATAATTCAGAACATTCAATATCAGAGAAATGTTTACATGAGATAGTTAAACAAAAATAAAATGCATGAAACAGCATCCCTGACCCGTGTCCTGAAGTGAACCAAAGACCCATCCAGGTGGACCTAACCACTGGGAATGGTTTGATTCACAGCATACTCTGTCCCATACCACTGGGAATGGTTTGATTCACAGCATACTCTGTCCCATACCACTGGGAATGGTTTGATTCACAGCATACTCTGTCCCATACCACTGGGAATGGTTTGATTCACAGCATACTCTGTCCCATACCACTGAGAATGGTTTGATTCACAGCATACTCTGTCCCATACCACTGGGAATGGTTTGATTCACAGCATACTCTGTCCCATACCTACTGGGAATGGTTTGATTCACAGCACACTCTGTCCCATACCACTGGGAATGGTTTGATTCACAGCATACTCTGTCCCATACTACTGGGAATGGTTTGATTCACAGCACACTCTGTCCCATACCACTGGGAATGTATTGTACAATTAAAAACTCTCCATGTCAACTTCACCAGAGGCTTGTGACTGGGGAATTAAGGGTTCTCCAATACTCCATAGAAGGAATGGGGGTAAAGAATTCATATGGAGAACTTTACCAGGGAAGTGTGTGAACAGATGTCATTGGAGGCAATCATTTGAAATTGGATCCCACAATGAGAGACAGTGCGATGGGTTTCTGTAACCATAGACAGTAGACATGGGTTACAAGAGAAGGCAGGCTGTTGTTTTTTGTCAACTGTAGAACAGCCTCAAAAATATTATTTATATATACAGACACCACAGTAACAGTCTCATGCAAAACCTTATCTCAACATTGGGCAGTGAGCAGGGGCAGATGGACTTAACATTTCCCTGCTCACTGTGAGGCAACAACAGCCACTCGATGGATTCTATCTTCTCAATAACATGGATATATATATGTTGAATAAAGTAGTTATGAGACCAGAAAAAGAAAGGAAAAATAGACTTACCATCAGAGCCACTGAGAAGACAAAATTGGATAAAATGGAGGAAAACCAAGGGCAAGTTGGGAAAAGGGTATATGCACTTTCTCCAGTAAAGCCAACAGGATCATGATGGAAAGCTTTCAAAATGAAATTAAAAGATAAAGACAACTGAGAGAAAGAAAAAGGAAGTGAAGAAAAAGAATATTCCTTAAAAAAAAAAAAGAATAAGGTGAACGATGATTATAAGAGAGCCCGAGATTCAGCAAAATTTAGTGGAGAAAAAACAAAACAATATACATACCCATGTAATCCAAGCAGCGAAAGACAAAAGTGAAACCATAATTCATATCAGGAAGAAGGAACAAGAAGCAAAATCAGGTATGAAAACAAAAGTGATGTAACACTTACAAGAGCCAGGCTCAGTTGAAGTAACAGAAGCAGGAGTTTGGAAATCCTGGATTTGAGATCAGTATAGAAAAAATCATGAACAACAACAATAATATCACTGACCGTCAATGTCTCTAATTGCTATTACAGTACTGGATGACTCCTGTAAAAGTACTGAAAACCTTAGAAGATGTCAGAAACATGGGAACATGAATGCATAATCCAGTTAATCCACAAAACTGATGCTGTGGTGGTCTTTTTTTTATGTTATCAGTTAGAAAGAAATAAACCAGATAATAGCAATGATCAATAGGCCTAATAACTACCTTCAAGAGTACTGTACAAAACCCACATGTTGAATTAAAGAACTGGAACAAACAATGGGCCATGTCCCCAAAAGTGAAAAGTCATTTAAAATAAAATAAAACTGGAGATAACTGAATAGAAAGATCTAACTGATAAATTTAAAAGTTAAAATTGTTGTTTCAGATAATCAAGAAAAATAAGGAAAGAAAGACTGCACAATGAATAGCCTGAAAGGTTAAAGTTATGAAAGGACAAGCAGTACCAAGGAGAGAATGACCCAATGTTCAAGTGCTGGTGCTCATGGAGATTACTGTGCACAAAGGATGTGTCATCCTCTTACTGAGGGAGGGCTATAGTTTAATGATGATTACACAATAGACTGGCACAATACACATTGATGTGTGTAGGAGTGGGAGCTTTGATCAAGGCTTGTGGAATGTGCAGGAATTTATATGGCAGAATGCATGAGGTAATAGCTTTGTGGTGAAGAAAGGTGAGTAGCATTCCAAATATTAAGTTTGTTGTCATCATTAAATCCAGTTTAAAATTGCTAATAAGATATAGATGTAATATTTATGTAGTTTATCCATGTGGAATGATTTTGAGGAACATCCCTTTTCTAACATTGGTGGCAAAAGCTTAATAAAAAAAAACAAGTACTCACTTGTGTCTTGCTCGAGCAACTTTGAAGAATCTTGTGCTGCCTAAACTGTACAAGAAAATGTATTTCAGTTTTGGAATGTCATTTCACATGTATCGTTCACACCAAAAGAAATATATTTCCATACTAACTCCAAATTAAATATTTAATTCAACAAACTAATTCATATGTTCCTTATTACTTAACCAGATATTTGGAATTGTCCTTATCAATAATCAGAGAATTTTTTATCTGTCCTTATCAAGAATCTGAATATCTTGAACTAGCCCTTATCAAGTGTCAGGATATTTTCAAGTGTTCTCATGAAGTGTCAGGTTATTTTCAACTGTCCTTATCAAGTGTCAGGTTATTTTCAACTGTCCTTATCAAGTGTCAGATTATTTTCAACTGTCCTTATCAAGTGTCAGGTTATTTTCAACTGTCCTTATCAAGTGTCAGGTTATTTTCAACTGTCCTTATCAAGTGTCAGGTTATTTTCAACTGTCCTTATCAAGTGTCAGGTTATTTTCAACTGTCCTTAT